TACCGCGAGCCTTTCTGCCCACCACTCTTCCGAAGCATCAATGGTTCGCTTTATCGGATCCCAACCCAAACCAGTTGAACCACGCTTTAAATCCTTCCAAATTTTCCAATCTTTCTTCAGTTGATCCCATTTATTTTTCATTTGTAGCCTGTCGTACTCCCGTCCCGTGGAGTATTTAAAAGTTTTAATGATATTATGCCAACCTTCTTTATTAAAAAACGTTGTTGGTCTATTGCCCAGTTCAATTTCTTTTATACAAAGGTAGCAAAACAACATTTTGATTTATTTTTCCCAGAGTGCTGGTTTAGCCTTACCAGTCATGTTACTACTACGATGAAGCAAAGAAATGAAACACAACAATATCATATTCAATTAAAAAATTAATTAAAGGAAGCATAAAAATGAAAAAAAGACATAATAAAAATGAAAAAAGGACAATTTAACGTGGTTCGGTCAACATGACCTATATCCACAGCAAAGGAGGCCAACAACTTTATTATAGCATCAAAGAAGAAGAAACAAAGCTTTGATTCATACAGTACTCCCTCCCAGAAGCACAAAAAAATAAGCAACATATAGAAACCAAATGCTGTCATGATGGATCTCATCCCAGGAATCTGGCATAATAGAAGCATCATACATTACTCCCATAATGATTCATACATTACTCCCCCCCACGCACCCCTTCAAAACCGGCAGCATATCCAATAAACAGGTAACCCGAAGCAAAAAAAAATGTTGCGAGGACCACTGCCAGCTTGCTAAGTACTGGAGCAATGCAAAACAAGTAAGGTGTAAAGATAACATAGAAATATTAATATAACAATTGCTTACGGGACCAAGCCAAGTTACCAAGTGCTGTCATGATGGATTACACATGTTTTCTACAACTCAAATATGATTTCCAACCATAGAACCAAATATAATTTCCATCAAACAATGAAATTAGTTTCCAACCGTAAAACCAAATAGTTAAAGAAATACATGACTGCAATTCGGGCAAGGTTAAGAATATTGGAAGGAGGAGTGAATCTATTTATTTCATTCACAGAGTTAAGAGAAATAGTATCAAATTTCCATCAACAGGTAAGATAAATAGCGTGAATATTTTCGAATGGTACTTCCAAATGTTCAACAGGTACTTGCAAATCTTCCACAAACATGTAATGAAACATGGTTCATTTCGGGTAAGAGCAAAAAGAAAAAATTTATGGGTGCTTGCATTAAAAGGTGCTTCCAAATCTTCCTTTAACATGTAATGAAACGGGTGCTTGCAACTCTTCAACCACAAAACAATGTAATTAACCACTGCTGGCGTTCCAAAATTTCAAGCCAAACCAAATTTCGTGTAGTTACAGATCCACAAAAGGAAAGGAGGAAAAAATAAAAATGGTAAAAACAGAAAAGAGATGAGAAAACATAAAGAGCCGCAAAACGACAATCTTCCATTAACAGGTGCTTTCAAACCTTCAACCACCAAAACAATCTAATGAAACACCGCAGACATGCATATATTGGTGTGAAATCTGCAACTTGGATTGGCAATGCCAATTTGATCCCAAATCTAAATGTTCATTTCAGGTAAGAGTAAAATGAAGTAATTTTTTGTGTGCCAAAATATCTAGCTAAAGCAATATTTATGGAGCCGCAAAAACCGCAAAAAGAAAAATGGCAGAAACAGGAATGAGATGAGAAGGAGAAAACGTCAGGAGCCGCAAAACCGCAAAAAATGACAATCTTCCATTAGCGATTGCTTCCATTCCTACAACCACAAAACAATCTAATGAAACACTGCATACATGCTTAGATGGGCGCAAGATCTGCAACTTGGATAGACAATGCCAATTTGATCCCAAATCTAAGGGTTCGATTCGGATAAGAATAAAATGAAGTAATTTTTCGTGTGTCAAAATATCTACCTAAAGCCATATTTCGTTAATAAGCTACAAATCCACCACAGGAAAAGAGGAGAAAAGAAAAATGACAGAAACAGGAAAGAGATGAGAAGTAGAAAACATCAGGAGCCGCAAAATGCACATCATTCCTCAGATCCGCAAATACAAGAAGAAAATGGCTCGTTTTACCTTAGCTCTGTCGATCGAGGGACGACAAAAGAGGAGAAGGAGAAGGGGACGCGAGGGATGCAGTGGGGAATCACCTAGGGTAGACGCGGGGTAAAGGGTAAAAATCTCAGTCGAAAGCGAGAGACGCGGGGTTAATGCCGCTGCATGCTTTCGCTCTGCTTCCGCCGCATAAATGCCCGAAGTCGCGAACCAAATGGATAACTTTCACGAAAAGTTGAGGCAAATGACCGCGCCGCACCTAAAAAGCGCTCCCAAACAGACCCTTAATGTGATGCTTTTGCGTCACCAACACTCACATCAAGTGTTTTCTACAAGTACAAACTTTTAGATTTTCATCATATGACATGGAGGATAGGATAATAAGTTGTAGACGTGCACCTCTAATACTTCTCTACCCTTTTTGGGCCAGTATGCACTTCATCTTTGACTTTTTGGTTGGCCTTACCTTATTTTAACTTCCTATATGTAGGCATATAAAATATTTTATGGTGAAAGTATCTAATATTTCCCACATGACAACAAACTCTATGTTGTCAGGGCTTAAGCAATAGATACCATCCAGACTTCCTACAACTCCTTAAAGAGGCCACATAAGGCCAAAATATGACATGAATATTGGTGCTTATATTTTCATGATTGTCATAACTATTGCAAGAATTTCTAGCTCTACACTTATCTTTTGCATAGAGAAGTAAAAGAGTTTGCTCATCTAACTTACACTGAAGATTGGAGGGTTAAAAATTATCATGTTAATAATAAACTTAAATGTATTCAAATGTGCAAGAAATCAATTTTTTATACATACAACTGTCAAATAAAGAAACTTCTAAATAAAAGCAAACAGATCAAATCAACTCAAAAATAAGCAATAAGTAGATGAATTTCAATGCGATTAAAACTCAAGAAAGGTAACATATCTAACAGGACAAAATGTAATCATTACCTTCTGTTTCCTTTTGAATTCTTCCCATGTTACTGTGTGGGATTTATTCAAGCTAGCCAAACGAGCAGCATGCCACTCTGGTGAATGAAATGTGCCATCAACCTGAGATAGTCCTTGTTAAAAAAACTTCAAGTAAATTATTGGGCGGAAGTGCTGGTTAAATACAATTCACAATAAATAGTAAAGCAAGATTATCAAGGATATTTTAAAAGCTTTTACAAAAGAAGCATGTTGCCCGTAAGCTTGTCTGACTATATATGCACAAAGTCTTATAGAAGAGGCGTGGACCAGCAAGCATGCATGTACAAGATATGAAATGGAAAACGAGCAGTCAATCTAGGCATATGAAAAATCAAATGTCAGTAGAATGCTCGGAATCAGAAGGCAGACATAACGCAAGCATTTCTTCACAAGTTACTAACTAAAACAAAAAAGCAATGGCCCCACTTGTTGCTGAGCTATAACAGCAGGTAATTATAGCACTAAAAAAAAACTAAAAAACAATTTGAAATGTTAAAATCAAAAGTCTTAAAAGCTTTATTGTTAATGCTAAGCGGCTAGTAAAGAGAAGTTTGATCATTTGTCAATGCATATTGAATTTAGCTATGCAAGAAAAAGGTACTACCATAAAGAACAACGTGGAACCTAACGGCAAGGAAAATTGAAAGTTAAGCAGTTTAGCAATAAACTACCATACAAGATGGGAAAGAAAGAACCATTGAAAAATCCTGAGTAATTGTTATTTGGTGTAGAAAACAAAAAAACACATCAGCACTGCGAAAAGATAGCATTTATTATCGTTATTCATCTGATAATGGAGAGGAACAGATAAATAAATCAGCTTATTTCCTATGGACTCTGTCCGTGTTGTTAAAGATGGGTCTGAGGCTCGCCTATGCACGTCAGTGGGCAAGATAATGCAATAAACCTCCAACACTGCCTTGATGGCACCATTACTAAAGCATGCTTATAAGATCCACGAACACTTGTCTCAAAGCCCACGTAGTGAGGCAACGATCTTGCCTTGATTTACGACATGAGTGTTGATAATTTACATGTTAAAGATGAGTTAGTTTTTGATGATAATAACATTGAAAAGGGAAGATATGACTAGACATCTATAGTAGGCGAAACAATCATGCATCATTGGAAACAAGTTCATCAAATGTGGAAGAAAGAACTGAAATCCTAGAGTACCAATATTGAAGGTGAGGATAATCAGTCCAAAAAATATATATGAAAGATAAAGGGATCCAAATTCCTATATAAAGAAGAGAGCTTGGATGATGACAAAAATGATATAACTCATATTGAAGATTAGATGATAGGCTATAAACAATACAAATTTAAGTAGTTATCTGAAAATTTAAAATAATCTATGGAGTAAGATCTTTAAACTTGAAACATAATGCAAGTAAAATTTATTTTTTCTAACAAAATTTAGTATGTAAAAAGAAGTTGAGGAGGCTTTAAAGAAAACCAAGGGTGAAAAGTCTATAGAACCTGATGATATCGCAATTGAAGTATGGAAATATTTAAGAGATTTGGGAGTTTCTTGGCTTACTAAACTCTTTAATATTCTTTGCTGAGATAAAAAAATGCCTGAGGAGTGGAGGAAGAGTATTTTGGTCCCCATTTTTAAGAATAAAGGGGATGCACAAGAGTGTGCAAATTATAGAGGAATTAAGTTGATGTGTCATACTTTAAAATTATGGGAGAGGGAAACTGAAGAACTGAAGATAGGTTAAGACGTATCACAAAGATTTCTCATAATCAATTTTGATTTATGTCGGGCAGATCGACAATGGAAGCTATACACTTAAAGATTTCTCATAATCAATTTTGATTTATGTCGGGCATATCTACACATATGAATTTTATTGATTTAGAAAACGCTTCCAATATAAGTTCTTTGAACAGTTCTAGAGAAGAAAAGTGTTGATATGATTTATATTCAAGTCCTTAAAGAAATGTATACCAGAGTTGTTGAAAAAGAATTGACCAAGTATTTTCCTATTTAAGTTGGATTCCATCAGAAATCGGCTTTAAGCCCATTTCTTTTTGTTTTACTTATGGATGCTCTTACCAACAAATATAGTACCTTGGTGTATGTTTTTTGGTGATGATATCCTTCTCGTGGATAAGACGAGAGAAAAACTCAAAAAAAAAACTTGAATCATGGAGGTCCACATTGGAGTCTAAAGGCCTTCATTTGAGAACTACAACTGAATACATGAAATGTAATTTTAGTAGTAGTAACTTGAATGAATACATGAAATGTAATTTTAGTAGTAGTAACTCGAGTGGTAAGGTTATAACAATGGGTGGTCAATTCATAAAAAGGAGTGAACATTTTAAGTACCTTAGGTCTATTGGATGTTAATAGTAGAATTCAAGTTGGTTAGTTGAAGTGAAGGAATGCTTCGGGCCTTTTGTGTGATAGAAAAGTACCGCTTAGACTGAAAGGAAAATTTTATAAGACGGTGGTTAGACCTGCAATGCTCTATGGCGCTGAATGTTGGCCTTTATAAGAGCGGCATAATACTAAGTTAAGTATTTTCGAGATGAGAATGAATAGGTGGATGAGTGGCTTTACACTTAGAGACAAGATGCAAAATGAATATATCCGTGATGGGGTTGGTGTAGCTCCTATGACGGACAAAATTAGATAAAGTCGTCTTAGATGGTTTGGTCACATTAAACGCCGACCATCTGATGATCCAATTAGGAGAGTAGATGTTTTAGATTCGACTTATGTTAAGAAAGACAGAGGTAGACCTAGGAAGACTTGGGCTTATTGTATAAAAAATGCTCTTAAATTATTAGAACGAAATGAAAATATGACACTAAATAGGATGCAATGGAGAAAAAGGACTCATGTAGATGACCCCACATAGTGGGATTAAGGCTTTGTTGTTGTTGTTGTTGTGTAACATAATTTAATATAATGATTACTATTTTATACTCTAAAAAAGTATTCTAATTCAACTATTCCAGTAAATTTATCAGCGATACAACTATCCCTTTTTAGAGTCTCCTTTTTCTAAGAGAAGCACCAATGTTGGTGCCCAACACCTCAGATATGGAGAATCCATGAAGCGTTGAGCGCACCTAGCACATTTGAAGACATTGGACTACATGCATGCACACACAAATGCTTTAGTCGCCACTGAGTTTACTAAAGTGTAGAGTGGATCCACCCAACCCAATGGAGATTCAAACTTCCAGAATTCAATGGCAAACTCAAGTCACAAGAATTAAGTAGGCCTTACAAATAAAACAAAGGCATACCAAGAACATATAACTTTGACAGTGCAGCATCTGAGAAGGATAAATTTGAAGGACAAAAGGCAACCAAACTGAAATTTATTTCTAATCAACTTGCTGAACTTGCACATATAAAATCAATCAATCACAAACTAAATGTCATTATTTGTGAAAATTATTATTTCATGACCGAGATACTATAGTACGTAAGAGACTTAAAATTTCAAGGCCAATTAACTATTTGAATTTAGACACATGACATCCTTAGGATATAAGAAGAATAATGGATGTGTTCGGGATGCCTTAATATAACAGAAGAAGAATCAATGAGTTTGAGTTTAGAAATGCTTCTTCTACATAAGTTTCAAACATAATAAATATATGCTTCACATTTCTTAAAAGGCTTGGTTAATGGATTAAAAATCTTTTAAATCATTAAATTTGGCATCTAATTGCTTTCTATTTGTAACTATCCAATGCTATTTGCTAGAACATAGTACAATTGCTAGCCCTAAAAAAAACATCCAACTTAAGACATCAATTTTGGCAGCAAAATAGACAATCAAACATGGTATTAATGTTAAAACCATATGAATCCACAACTTAATCAAGAGTGAAATAGATGCCACCAAGATGAACTCATGCACTCTGATCAATTCTCCTACTCCTGAATGTTCAAATCCCCAAGCACAAGAATACACAAGGCATTAACCCTGATGGTAAATATTTTTGCACCTTTCATTTGAGTTTTTTGAACTTTAAAAGTCAAATCCTATCATACTTGATCCTTTAGAAATCATTTATTGGGTTTATCTTCCCATCACATTTAAATTGTGCTTATCACAACACATTGTTATTTCAATATGAGAAAAAAAAGCATCTAATAAAGAATCAATATCATTAAAGCTGAAATTAAAAAGATGCCACACATTTTTCACCGCAGTTGTAATGCAAGGACAAAAAAGGGGGAGGGGGCTACTCAAAATGAGAGTTTAATTGATAAGATATGTATAAATTATAATAATATTCTATGCTCATTTTGCTTTTAACTTGTGACTTAATGATTAAATTCCAATATCATTTGTAAACCTCTACCCCATATTTGCCCAACACTTCTAGTTTTCTATCCAAATGGGGATTAACTCTAGTCACCTTATTTACAAATTTTTTAGTCCATTTTATATTGATTTGGGCTTACATTTTGAATTTGATATATTAAAACCCGCTCAAACATGACTTGATGCGAATTCCAAATAGAATTGTTGATGTGAGCAAAAAGATGTTGAGTCGTACAAAATTGGTAAGTTAAAATTAAAATTTCAAGCATGGCATAGATGCTCATTAAAAAACTTAATTATAAATTGTTCGATCATATGTATTGTTATTTCCTTGCATACACAAATCTCCTTTGCTTCAGAAAGAGTTTCTCTTTTTTTAATTTATTATTGATGTATTTTGCATGGAGAAAAGTTGGTGTCAAGAATCTAAATGTTTGGCAACCTAAAAGTCTTTAGTCACCAATAACCAAGTTGAGCTTTGAAGAAATGATAACGTCAAAATGATGTGAAGCAAAAATTAAGAATAATAGATTGAGAAGTAATTATATTATAAGGACCAACATAAATAAAGTCAAGTGGTTTGGGCATGTACAATAAAGAATAGAATATACACCAACAAGATGGATGAATTTAATATGAAAAAGAAAAAAGAAAAAAGGTTTGATCAAGGATCAAATATAGAAGTTGTGTACTTGGGTAAAATATTCAAAAAAACAAATAAATAAATCAACAACTTATGCAACACTGCTCGATAGAAATGATTTGAAAACAAATGTGTAAATCCAATCACTAATATTTGGGATATGACTGATAACAAAGACTTAATTTTAATCGTGCAATTGCACTGTGGCTATAATTTCTTTGGTCAATTGGTAACCATACCAATCATAGTCAATGTTCCATCATGCATCTCTTTACTAACACCAACAAATCTATAAAAAAAAATCATTTCCTTAACATACCAAATCGATTTTGATGAAATTCAATCATTAGCATCCTCAAGATCAATAAAGAACAACATAAGATCCTTTTCTACTTTCTCCAAATTTCATTAATTGCCTCCATAGTGAATTTTTTTGGCATAAAAAAATCAATTATAATAACTGCATGAATCTTTGCGTTCCATTGCCTTCTTAAATAAGTGCATTATATAGCCCATGAGCTTAATTACTTTATAATTATATGATTTAGAACATCTCTTCTATTCCTTAATATTAATATCAACATAGTTTTTATACAATCACTTGGCATCATCTCTGAGGTGGTTTGGTTGCAAGTAATAAAGGTATAATGTAAAAAAAATGCATGAATTCTGATTGTTTAGGTGTTTAGAATGAAGTAAAACTGATGCAAAATTTTCATGAAGCAATTTGTATACCAAAAAACCTTCTTTTATCATAAATTTTCAAATTCATCCAAATTGGACAAATTCCAAACTTGAAAACACAATCCATCCTTTGGAGCCACACTATCTGTGACCTCGATCTTCCTAATCATGCCTCCATCACACCCCATGTGTCCCACCTTCCCGATCATGTTAAGAAAACCAAACCTAACCTTCTTAATCACGCCAAATCTATTTTTTCTTCATCAGTCCCACAATTGCAACCTTGAACTCCACTTCAACTAATCATTTTTTCCCCATTACTTCGTTGTAGAACTTGTCATCCCGCATCTGTCACCCCCAACCATGAGTCCCTCAGAGTTCCCATTACATATAAGAAAAGGAAGAGAGTGATGCTTTGTGTATTTGAAATCCATCCTAACTACCAAATAATTGTTTACATATATTTGATGGACATCCCATCAAACAAGCTTTCAAAATACTTTTATTCTTTTTTACTTTATATTTCTAAAATAAATGCCTTATTAATGTATATCAATCCCATAATTCTCAAAATCTCAATAAGTCTTTCATGCAGACCTAGATCTTTAACTTTATACATTTTGTTCAACAGAAAGTCTACTTCAACTTTTGGAACAATCTATAATATTAAAGATTTTAAAAATTACCATACCTCACAACCCAAATCTAACTAAAAAAAATCGTATTCTCGAAATTATAGATTCAATTATTATTCGGGTCAAGTTCAACTGAACCTAATTATTATTCATGCTTGAGTTAGGTTGGCCCGGGCAATGATAATTGAGTAATGTTGAACCAAAAAAATTACATGATTCATCTAACAAATGGCTTAGATGGGTCAATTTTAGGCAAGGAGAGTTTGAGTTGAATCAAATTTTTCATCAATGTAATAAACAAATTTAGGTTCAAATCATGTATATTCGGGTCTAACTCAAACCTAGCCTATCAATTCTTCTTGATACCCCGATATAATATATGTCACTATTATGCTCAATATGTTAATTAAAAATATTTCCTCCTTAAATTTTTTTTTATAAGTTTTCATTATAAAAATTTCATAATTTCTTAATGCATTCATTTTAATTAACATCATCTTCACTTTTGTACATCTAACTTAATCAAAGTCAATAGATCTCTTATATTCTATCAAATTATTTTACATATTACCTTTTCCATTTACTTGAATATATTGCCTATTCTATCAAATAAGTTTAATATACGTAGGTCTTGCTTTGCTTACAACACTTTGCAAAACTTCCAACTTCTTTATAAATTATTGTAACCCTCAAAGGAGTTCTTATTTCTCATGTTTTAAAGCAACTTTTTTATTGTCGCTTCACTTATATATTATTTATTTCTAAAAGTTCATAAAACTTCTATGTCAATCTTCCTAATGCAACTAAGCATCTTATCCACATCAAATTTTGTTCAACTATAAAATTTCAATTTAGATATCTTAACAACATATCTTGAAGGTACACCAAATCTCATCTATTAAAATCCACCATCTTATTTAACATAAAAGTGTTTATTTTAATTGCTCTTTATATGCATGCAGCAACATTCACAACAACTATTCTATATTGACATCAAACTTGCTTTTGAATAAAGGTTTGGTACAAAAAAACTACTTTTCTATGCGTAAAAAGTTCTCGAGATTTAGCAGCTTAGGGGCCTATCTGGGATCACTTTAGTTTTTTTTTATTTTACATTCAAAAAATATATTTATTTGACATATTTTTTAATATTTTTGTTCTTTTAAATGAATAAATTAAGTTATTTTTAAAAAATACTCAAAAAAATTTCTAATTGATTAAAGTATTTTTAAAAATAACTATCAGCGCCGACCGGCACCACCACCATTGGCCATGACCATTGCTAATGCCACTATCAACGGCCGTGCTACTATCAATGACATGTCTATTGTTGTGAATACCTCTCCAACAACCACCACCACAACATTAATAAAAAAAAAACATGTTTTTACAATACAAACATATTTTATTTCACATTAAAGCATGAGAAAAAATTAAGAAATAAAATTTAAAAACAAAAGTGTACCCCAAAACGGCACCTTAACTTTTGAAAATAACTTGGCCCTCCATTTATTTTCTAAAGCATGCATTCCTCATTGGAAGATCATATGCTACAATAAAATCAATGAAAATTTATATACATACCACACAATTCCCATGTATTAAAGTATTTAACACAATGTTTGATATTTAAATTTATAGTACTTCGGTGTCATGAACCTATGCATAAAAAGATGCATTAGTCTGCGCATTATGGATGGGATAAACAGATGCATTTTGCTAATGTAAAAGTGATATTTTTTACGTGTTATTAAAGTTTGAGTGTTATGCATATAAATATAAAAGTTTAGTTGTTGGATAAACAAATGCATTGTGTAGTATGTACGTAAATGGCCCTGAAATCAAATATAATCTAGTTAAGGACATTTTTTATTGACATTAGAAGTGTGGCACAATCCTATTTCCCAACAATCCAAGATCCATTAGCAAAATGCATTGGCCTACGCATTATGGATGGGATGGAGCCCAAGTAACGTCACCCCATCGGGTTTACAATTTAGCTCAGACTTGATAAGCTGTTTGCTTTTTTTTTTATTTAAATGAAAAGTAAGCTATAAGCCAGTACAAGCTACTAACCAAAACAACATACTTAAACAACACAGCATAAAACTCGACAAGCTACTGAACTAAATAAACCAAAAATTACTATGTTTATTCTCAACAGCACTAATTATTAAGAACAAAAATAGCAACGCAGGTACATAAGAACAGAACAAGTAAAAACAAGAGCTAATCAATAAAATTAGATCAATGGTTTGAAAAGGTACGAACCATTCCGTCATCCACGTCCTCCGCGCCGACCGGTCCCGAGAGCCTTGCCCTCTGCATAGCTTTGTAGGTCTGGTTCTTTCCCATCTCCGCGCTAGAAAAACTGATAGACAAATTTCAAAGGATCGAAAATGAAGAATCGACTTGGATAATATAAAAGAAGCGTCAGAAGATCGATTGGCGTCAGAGTCAATCCATGCTTAAATAGGGAAGAAGCTCAGCAATGTTCCATCGCGGGTAGACCGATGGCGGAAATCGGGCAGACCTCGGTAATTTTATTACCGGAAATAATTTTACTATTGTAAAAAATTTGGGTACGATAGACGTACGCAGCGCTGCATGCGTTATTAGGGTTATATCGAGGGTATATGGGGGTTACATCCACGGTATAACCCCTTGTAACATCCATGTAACTTGTTGTAACATATCTGTACCCTAAAATAAGTTTTGCGCTTCTGTTATCATATATTAAGAGGTTACACG